CCTCCAACCTTTCAGTTAGCAGTCAAGTAAGCTAATTGTTTGCACTACCCAGGCACTATTATTTCATACATTGTTGTTGTTATATGCCGTTGAGTAGACCCGACTCATAGCGACCCCTCCTTGGGTTTCCGAGACAGTATCACAATGGAAGGAGATTGCCCCATCTTTGTTCCGAGGATACGAAGTACAAAACTTTCTAATGTCAGGATGGATGCACTTTAACACTTTAAAGGATAATTCCATAAGACTGAAACAATCAAAAAAATTCATTTGATTCATATATTTACAATTTTATTAGAATTCTTCAGAACTGTCAACAATTGAAAAACATATCAGGAAAAGAACACATGGAACACAAACATCCTTTAAACTTGCACCGCTTATGTATTTACACATAAAATTACTGTATATATATAAAAAATATTTTCAGGGACTCATGGGCTTGGGAATATTCAAAAGACATTATTGCTACATTTCAATATTTACAAAAAAAAAAAAGCCATAAAATAATTTCAAACATTAAGCCACTGCAAAGAAACATCTAAAGTAAAAAAAAAAAAATTATAAAAATATAAACTTTCAAGAATATCCAAGACAAACTTTCAATGATGTGCCCCTGAAACACCTAGACATCTACAATTAACAACCAGTTTTCTTACTATAATCAAAGTCAATAGAAACACAAAGGAATATTTCAGACAAAGAATGGCAAACAACAACATTCTCTTACAGGACAACACAACCCCAAAACTTGTTAACTTTGGAAAGGTGCGAGAGCATAGTACTCTAGTGCAAATGGTTCTTTCCAGATTCATGGCCACAGTTCTCTACATGTAGTCTAAGGGATACAGAGGGAAAAACCGTGAAGACGTATACCTAAATCTTACAAGATGACACACCAACCTGGTCATGTGCACATTTACTTCCTATGGCTGGGAAGGATGGGGGGGAAAAAAAAGACACAGAATAATATTCAGGCTACAGCCTAAGGGTAAAATTTAAATATATTTCAGTGGGAGAGTAGCATTAATAAAGTCTAAGAAATGACTACAGTATTGTTTACTATAAATAACAGAGTGCCTTAAGTACAGGTAGATCACAACTAAATAGGTACTTAAAGCAACCTGCTTCCTATATTCCTCTATGCAAGCTTTTGGTAGGCTATTCCAGACGGCTATGTGGAAGAAAAATAAGAGCAGTACTGATGATGAAAGCCAAGTTATTTTT